TTTTTTTTTTTTTAATTTTTTCCCAAGAGTTCACTTTTCTATGATCCCCGCAGTGAGCTGTGTAGATCTGTGCCAAATGGCAACGTCCCAATTATAATAACCCCTGAGAGAGACCTTCTGCCGTCTCAGATCTACAGAGATCTAAAGTGAATACAAAAATAGGCATCTAATCAATAGCAAAATGACCCTGGGATCTCATAATTGCTGGCTAATAGTCACACATGAGCTATCTTTCCCAGAAAGAGAGGATGCATCCATTTCCTGCAGGTAGGATGTGAACGGAATCCAGAGGCGTTCTGGGGGCTGTGCTGTCCCTGGCCTTTGCAGTGTCATTGCAGATCCCACCTCCAGCAATTCGTGATGGTTGCAAATTTAATTCATGACGGGGAGTGAAGGGCAGAGGGAGGGTCCCATCGCCTAATTCCAGTAGCATCTTTTGCTCTCTCTGGCCCCCACCCAACGTCCTCCACTAGCTCCAATTTTATTCTCTGTCCTTTATTACACCCAGCTTTCTCCTTCCTCTGACCCCAGCCGCCAAGGAAGCCCCGGCTCTGCAGCTCCTTCAGCAAATGGACTTCTCGAAACATCTCCTGCCGGTCCTCTCTCTTACAAATACAAAGAGAAACGCGTTCCTCCCCTGCCCCGTCCCTTGGTAGCCATGTGCTCCCTAGGAAGGAATTTCTTTTTTAACAAAGATTTTTTAGATTTAATTTGTTATTAAATGATAACTGTATACATTTACGGGGTCCACTGTGCTGATGTGATTTATAGTGTGAAATGCTTAAATCAAACGGGTCAACCATCACCTCACTTACTTATTTTTTGTGGCAAGACATTTATAATTTACTCTTCGTTATTTTGAAGTGTGCCCTTAACATTGTACACATTAAGCGAGATCCCGCCAAATGCCCTCCCTCCTCCCTTCTCCTCCCTCTCCTCTCCCCTCCCCCTTGCCAGACTATGTTTGTGTTTTATCATTCGTATGACTATGAAGTGTTTATGTATTGGTTTCATAATAGTATTAAATACATTGGATACATTTTTTTTTTCTATTCTTGAGATACTTTACTAAGAAGAATATGTTCCAACTCCACCCACGTAAACATAAAAGATGTAAAGCCTCTGTCTTTTTCTAATGGCTGAATAGTACCCCATGATATCCACATATACCACAGTTTATTAATCCATTCATGGATTCATGGGCACTTGGGCTGCTTCCATGACTTGACAATTATGAATTGGGCTGCAATAAACATTCTGGTGCCAATGTCTTTGTGGTAAAATAATTTTTGTTCTTTTGGGTAAAAACCCAGTAATGGAATTGCGGGATCAAGTGGAAGGTCAACTTTTAATTCCTTAAGGATTCTCCATACTTCTTTTTTTTTTTTTTTTTTT